CGGCACATTTTTTGCATCTCATGCACTTAATCTTGTCTGGCAGTCTACTTTATAGACTGAGGTGAGACAGTGGTTCAGAGACCAACACCATATTCAAGCATATGGATCTAATCCAAAACCCACTGAATAGGTGGTCTCCAATGAAGTTTGAATCAGTCCCTATGTTCCTAGAATGGTCTTTTAAATAAGTTTTTTTCCCCTAAATTGTTTTTAAGAGATTAGGAGTAAAGCTCTTGTTGTGCTTCTCTTTAGCTTGTCTTGGACTGATTTCACAGAGTTTTATAAAGATGCTTTGAAGCAGAGGCAGATCCATATTCCAATCCATGTTCCGCCTGTCTTTTGACTAGTAAATAACTATGCGGTCTTCTGCTATGTACAGACCTCAATACCTTTCTCCCATGGTAAAGTCTGAACCAACCTTTTTCATGCTTACCTAAATTGGATTTTAGCAATGCATCTGAACTGAGGGTATGGGCAATTTAAAAAAAATAAATGCATTATTGAAGGGGAAAATGCACAATATATACATCTCCTTTTCAAGAGTAAGAAAGAAGGAGAATATTTTGGGACAAATTGTGCTTACCCTACTCACATAAATAATATCATTGATTTTATGGTGCTAGTTCCATGAGCATGGCAAGCAGGATCTGGCCCTGTATGACTTGAGCCTTGAGCAATATCAGTATCCAAACTTGTTTGGAATGACAATTTCAAGTTCAATTCCAGTTATCCAGAAATAGCAGCGAAACAGCACAGTAACAGTGACTGAATACAGCAAATTAATTTTGTTCCTGATGCATGCTGACATGTTCCAAAGCACCATCCCACAAAAGGACCTTTTTTGTTTCTGAGGATATTAATTTCAAACTGTTTTAATTCAGTTAAATGATCCCTGTCTACTAAGAGGGTAATTACGCAACACCCACACACCTGAAGATATGGGAAGGGGCTTGTGTTTGTTTTGGTTCAGTTTAACTGGATGTTCAAGATAGTATCAGACCTTGTCATCTTTTAACTGATTTGGCCTTTTTCTTGAGTGCCCTTGTGCATAATTGCCTCTTAACCCATGGAAACTTTTAAAACAATAGGGAATAACCAGACAAAATACAACAGTTCTTCACAGTTGATTGCAGAGGTCTCTTCTGTTTCATATTTGTCAAATTAAAGATATATGGTGCTTATGTGTTTCTCGCACAGAACAGAGTGTTGCAACGGACAATGTTGACATACTTAATGGATATAAAAAATAAAATGAAGAGAAATCCTTATTTTGAGTACTGTGCTTAAAATAATTAACTCCAACTTATAGTAGTACTTAATAGGGATATTGGAAACTGCAGAAAACAATATCAGAAATGTTCCTGTAGATTCTAAAGGCCCAGTTTTGCGATCTTACTCACATTGAGTAGTACTTAATTACAAAAGGCCCCCCCCACTGCAGAATTTGTACCCAAATTAGGCAGCCCCTTTCTTCAGCTACATTAGCTCAAGAATTTACCCTTTTCATAGCTATTAATTTTTGTGTCAATGGGAAGGTATGAAGAGGTACCCAAAAAAATCCAGGGCACCTTACGTAACTGGGAAAGACACTAAGAGATTGCATTTTCACAAGACACTATCCAGTAAAACTAATACTGCAGCATCAAAAAGGTATTTTTTAAGAATGTTATTGATCAATCTGTAAACATAACCAATTATAGTATTAATTTACTTATATTTATATACTTATAAATTAATTTTAGAGCCTTAAAAGCATTACTAATACAATGAATAAGCACTGACATAAATAATAATAGTAATAAAATATCTGGTTTTAAAAAGTTACCAGTATTAGTAATGACAATTTGTTTATCACTAGGGAAATATCAACGACCCAAACACTACCACAGAAAGCAATTATTGGCTACATTAAGTATTAAGGGTGAAATTCTGTGCTGTGCCGCTAAGAGGTGCAGCATAGAACTTACAACCCAGAGGAAGAAAGCAAAGGTGTGCCCTTTTGATGCTGGGCTGCTCCAGAGACTGGAAGTCCCAGACATAATTTAGGCTCTCTCTACACAGCAATCAGGAGTTGTGATTGCAGTATGTATAGCCATAACTGAGCTAGCTTTGATCTAGCTAGTTCAAATAAGAATGGTAGCATGGGCAGTGGCATGGGCTAGCTGCTTGAGTACGTACCAGCAAGGCTACACTGCCACCTGTACTGCCACAGCTGCATCACTATGCTTATTAGAGCTACCTAAATCAAAGCTACTCTGAGTATGCATACATGTGCTGCAGTTACTCTGATCGCCAGGTAGCCATACCCTGAATTATTGAAGCATTCCTGGGTGGTTCTATTGGTTGTAGCACTGTGTACTGCGACCCCACTCACACCACAATGCCCTGTACTCACTCCCAGCATGCCTCTTCCCTCCCACTACACCAGGGCTTGCACTGAGGGAATGCTCCCTCTGCAGGACAAAGGTCTTCTTCCACAGGAATGTTTGGTCCCTTTACTTGTCTTAAAGGGCCCAGGACAGGGGTGAGGATCTCATCCCAAGAGCCTGATTCACCAGTGAAGTCCATGGGCCATATTTGATAAGATCTCACACATGTAAAGAGCTACACACAAGTTATTTGTAATTAAATTAAATTAAATTAATGGAGATATCCCATCTCCTAGAACTGGAAGGGACCTTGAAAGGTCATCGAGTCCAGCCCCCTGCCTTCACGAGCAGGACCAACTACTGATTTTGCCCCTGATCCCCAAGTGGCCCCCGCAAGGATTGAACTCACAACCCTGGGTTTAGCAGGCCAATGCTCAAACCACTGAGCTATCCCTCCCCCCATGCACAACTACTATTGGTCCTAAAGTCCCCCATGAACTATGTTCCGTATTCTTGAGCACCATCTAGTTAACCTTATCTATTAATTATTTACATAGACATCTTTCATCTACAGAGCACTCCTGTAACAATATTCACCTAGGTTTGACACTGGCCTCTGCTTACATACACCCAAGTTGAGGGTCCATAGCTGAGAAAAGTTTACCAGGAATTGTATTGTAGTGCCACAAGTCTCCACAACCTCCCTCCACTAGGGGCCTACAGTCAGCCAGTGTAGTGCCAAAAGTTGATGCTGCTGAACAGTGAGAGGCATGGTGGATGCAGCAGGGCTGGCTGGGGAATGTGCTGATTCAATACATCTAAGGTGCAGACTTCATCATCAGGGCTCCTAACAATTGCATTTTGTGTCTCTCAAACAAATGTATGACAATATTTTGAGTATCTGAATTCTAGACAAATTCAATTTTGAATTTACTATTTAAAAAGTAATTAGCAGATCAGCATTAGATTTAAAATATTGACTTCCAGACTGCAGCCACTTCAGTGGCAACTGAGGTCTTACAGTGGCTGATGCTTTATTCTTCTCAGCCACTCATTACACACAGATAAACAACCAAGAAGAATCACACAGTGTGAAAGACTCCATAAATCCGTGGAGATAAGCAATAAAGGTCTTGCAGCAGATCCTGGTCATGTCAACTGCACATAAAGCATATCTGATTATTCTTATCTAGTCCTCCTTTTAAACCCTGTTACATTCTGCAGGGCAACCTACAGTCAACAAAGATAAAAGCTTGCTAAAAATCCCTACAGATCCCTCATTGGTCCCTCTGGCCAGGAACAATGCTCTGAAACTGTATGTATGCACAGCACTAAACAGGGCCCAATTTTCAAACTTCTGTGCATAAAGGCCTGAGATTTAGTCGGCAGGATTACTCTTCAACCTGAGTAGAGGGCTCCACAATATGGCCATATGTTTGGGTGTCCCAGTTCTTCATTTGGTGCTTTAAATCACAAATACTTATTATTTATTCGTTTATTTATATTATTAGACCATGTAGGAGCCCTAGTCCTGGACCAGGAACTAAGCAGTGTACAAACACAGAGCAAAAGAGCTTACCCAGCGCACTCTAAGTAGAAGACAAAAGGCAACAGATGGATACAGACAGATTGACAGGAGAGTACAAGGAAACAGTCAGAAAATACTCATGATTTAAACACTTAACGTCAACATCCAGGTTTGAAATTGAGCTAAAAAGGTTCTGTATTTAAGTGAACTACGCTATCTAGAGTATAATTGAAATACTGACTGAAGTAAAATTGAGATGAAGGAATTTCACCATAATTTAATTCCAATTTATATTGTTGGTCCTAAAATATTTACCTCCGACCTAGACTTTGGTCACAGGACTAAGTCCACCAGTATTTGGACAAGAAAATGTATACACAGTTGCATTAAGAAGCCATGTTAGCTCCAACAATATTTATTGGGGTAACTCTGCATTCAAGCTGCACATGGTATACCTTAAATAGAGGTGTTAAAATACCAAATAAAATGTCCAAGTCTGTCACGTCTGGAGCTTTTATAAATTGTTTAGACTGGGAATAATTTGGGTTTTGTACATCATTCTTTTCAGATCATGTAGAAAAGAGAAAAATAAGGTGGGAGAAGAAGAACAATGAAGCATAGTCAGTTTGAAGTTGTTTCATGGAAAGGCATATTCTGGTTCATTACCTCCCTAATCAACAATTTCCCTATTCCTCCGTAACTTGCAAGTCCACTAGTTACCTTTCCTCTCTCTGGGTGGTATTTTGAGGTTACACATACTACTCAATAATCATATTAAAAATCACTTCAAAAGGGAATTCCAGTACAGCTTGCCAGATATGTACATACTATGAGTAATTTTAACTTGGACTGTAGCTCCCTAATCACCTCTGTGTTAAAAAAAAAATACTACAGTATACTGACAGCAAACCTTTCCCCTGTGAACAGAAGGCTTTGAGTAATAAAATCTGCCAACTACCTAGCAGAGTATTTAGATTACCACACCTTAGTGACCATCTTTCCCACTCTCCCCTCTTCCACCCTCGCCACAACTCCAGAAAAATAACATCTCTCTTTCAGCTTCTTCCCTCGTTTTCCCACACACCACGCAACCCAGACCTCACCTTCAGCTCTCCAGAGGCTACTTTGGAAGCCAGTTCGATGACACAGCCAACAGCCATGCGTGCAGCGCCGGACGAATGCAGCTCATTCCAAATGGTGTCACTGTCCACCTGAGCAAACAGTCGGCAGAGAAGGGGGGGGGGAGGAAGAGAGAGAGAGAGTATAAGAGAAAACAAATCAGTGAGGGAGGGCTGGCAGGGTGACAGCCAATGTACAATAACATTAGTCTTCCGCCTTGGCCAGCTGAAAAGGCCTTCTGGACATGGCTTTGCTTATACTTTTTCTCTACACTGACTTCTCCAATGGAAACACATTCCTGTCATGCCTCACTGCCATTCCCTGTTTAGATTTCTCATTACAAACAGCATTACATAGGCCGGATCTGGCCTAGTTACAGGCCCGTTAGACACCAGGCCCCAGTAGTAGATACAATATATGTTGAGGGCCCTTAGTTATACATGAAAATGAGTTTTGCAAGTGCCAGGACAAAGAATTTAAAATAAATTTGTGACTACAGACATTAGGAAAGCAAAAGCTTGTGTTATTAAGAAATCAGTAGCACATATTCTACACAAGATGACAGCTACAGTTTATATTCCTTAAATAAATGGAAGGAATATTTTAGATTTACTGAGAACACTTGGTAAAACAATTTAAAAATTAGAAAAACTAAAATAATAAATCAGATAAAGAGATACATCCTCAGGATAATCCCACATTTTTACAATCTCAATCCTATTTTCTATATGCTACTTTGCTAGGATTGGGCTAGTGGAAAATAGAAATCTAATCAAATCGTTTGTTAGATTTCTGAATGCAAACTATACATTTATGATTCATTTGATTCATGCTCGAGATAGGAGCAAAATAAAGAAGAAATACAATGTGAAAAATTAATCTCTGGTGTAATTCCACTGAATTTGATGCAGTTATATCAGGGATGAATTCGGTCCAGTATGTTTTAGCTACTAACATTTAATTAAAGATAAACAGGATTGCTGACTCTTCAAATTATTTTCTATCATACTAATATTAAATGAGAGCCTGCCAGCTATTAAAAAAATAAGGGAATACAGCAGAGATGAGACAGCATAGAATAAGAACTTCAGTAAATATGTTCAAAAAGTTATGCTTATTCAATACTTCTGTTTTCAATAATCCAGTAAATGTGCTTGCATAAAGTAATTAATGCAAAGGAGAATGAAAACTAATGAATGAAAATGGTGAAGGGTTGCATTTACATTGTCTGATTTCATACCAAGCAGACACTTTAGTATGAAATACTTGAATCTGGCAAATATGCAGCCTTCTTTGATGCTTTATAGGAAGTACCTTTAAATGGGAAAAATATCACACAAGTCCATTATGAAAAGAAAAAGCTTTAGAAATACCGATTCTAGGTGGAAGATCCTATTTTTAAAGTTTCCAAAAACACTGAGACATGTTTTTAATTTGAATTTCTGTTGTTAATTTCTCGAAAACTAAATCAGGTAATTGAAAATAGATGCAACTGTTACTTGACTCTGGAATTTCTGAGGAATTCTCTGGCTAGTCAGTGGAAATAGAAAGAAGTTTGATCTTCTATACACCTGTCAAATGTCTTCACCATTGATGTTACATTGCTATTAAATTTCAAGCTATCATAATGATCTCATTTTTCAGTATATTGCGCCTGATTCCTCTTTCTCTTTCACCAGTTTACACTGGTGAAACACAGCTGACTTCAACTGGATTAGTCCACATTCTCATCAGTGTAAGAGGAGAATCAGGCCCTTTGAATAGTAAGACTGGCATTTGCTTGTCAAGCTTAGTATAATGAAGATATTTTGTATTTTCATCTGAGGATGTCATAGTGCTGTAGAAACATGAATTAAGCCTCACAACACAAGTAATGATTTATTATGCTTCTCTTACAGATGGGTAATATTAATTTTTAAGGAATTAAGCAGCTTTTCCAAGGATACACAGTAAGTCAATGGGTAGATCGCGGAATAAAACCAACAAGCATTAAGTCCCGAAGCTTTAGCCATTAGACAACACTCCTGCGGCCTTTGTCTCTAATGCTTCATATGAAGCAGGTGTCATTAAAATCTATTTTAAGTCTAAAAGGCAAAAAAATAGAAGGTATTTGTTAAACACAATAGAATAGGATAAACAATGTATTCAATTTGAATGCTTATTAATAGAAGGGCTAAAAGGGAGCATTTTCCTACCATGTGCATGGCTAGCAAATGAAGGTTAAAAACCAAAGCAGTGGTTGATGAAAATGATTCAACTGCAGTTCAACATGCCAAGGTACAAGCAGGCAGGGAGCCTGCAGCCTTAGAAGGGCTATGATTCATTTCCAGAATTGCTTGTTGAGTCTAAAATTGTAACCACAGTTTGTGAATGTATCCGCCCTTCAAAATGGTTGTCTCCTCTAGAACAAGAAAAAGGGATTGCTAGCAGCTGAACACTGTCCCTGTTGCCCAGACTATTTATTGTGTTAACTATTTTCTGTGTTCTGCTGTAGATGAGGAGAATGAATTGGAACAAGGCCCAATATTTACCACTGGAAATTTCCCTATTCCCATGAGAGCCTAATTTTAACGGGACTTGAGATAACAGTGGAGAATTGGAAAACAAAACAGCATGTCTCAAGGTATTTTCAAATATGACTAACAGAGTATATGGGAAATTCAGCACTTTAACTGATGAATTGGGGATGGCACATATCATGCATTTGGATCTCCCAACGCAGCAGGCGCACACTTCCAGCTGCAGAAGTGTGTGTGCTACAAGAAGGATACAAGAAAATTAACACACACACACACACACACAAGGAATGATCAATATGGGGAGATACAGCATTACATTTTACCCCTTAAAAATTAAATTCTGGAGTCCACACTCCTGCAAATCTCTATTGAACTCCATGGGAGATTTCCCTGAGAAACAACTAAAGAAGATATTGGCATATAAAATTTAACTCCCAATGTCAGTAATGGAAAAGATCTGTTAGATAATCTAGTTCATCCCTCTGCCAGTGCAGAATTGTTTCTCTCCATATTTTTACTAGTTTTAAATACTAGTTTCAAATATCTCAGTTGCTTGGGCCTGAGACATTTTCTTAGAGGCTATTTACTCAATAGTTTATTCAGCAGCATGCTATTGAACTACCACTGTATAAAAAGGCAAACATGTTAAAGTTATGTCTGTTAGCTTTTGTAGACGTCACTCTTTAACTGCAATACACTGGGCTGTAAAAGAAAGCAGAATATAGCCCAATGTATCTTCTTGATTGTGCACCATGGGCCAAATTCAGAGGTGTCATAAATGGGCAGGACTCAGCAACAACCTAGTGTCTGAATGTAAATTTATGTGTGTTACTATTGTAAGAAATTGGAGAGGAAGGAGAAAGTTGTAGTAGAAAAAGTAGCCAGGATGTAGGAGGGTGGGAAGCTTCTTTTTTCTTTTGTGCACCTTTTGTTTCTTTTTCTTGTTCCAACCCCACTCTTCTGCATGTATAAATGCCACCTACATAGACTCACCAATGTACTGAGAGGTAACTTATACCACCATTTAAGTCTCTTCTGAACGTATCAGTCTGAAAGAAGTATTTGAGGAGAAACAATTCTGACTAAATTGAAGGGCAATGTTTACAATTATTTTGACTCTACAAATAAATGATTATTTATTAGATAGGAAACTGCTCCTGAGAAAATGTCTCAAATGCAATCCCCTGAAACATTTAAAACTACACAAATGATGTTTAATTTAACTATTTTACTGGATGTTCCCCAGTGAAACGTGAAGACAACCAGCATTAAAAGTCCAGTCAGGTATACAAGACCAATTTTTGTTTGCATTACTTGTACAAGATGAATACAACAGGACAACTTATATGAATAAGTAGAGTAGGATTTGACTCTTTGTGTAGTCCATCATTACTTCCTGCCTACTTCAGGTCCGCCTCATGGAGGAACTATATACTTAATGCATAACACTCTTGCTAAAGATGTCATAGTTCCTGAATCATTGCTTTATGGAAAAGTCCTATAGAATTTAATAGTGAGTGATGCCTTTTCCATAGGTGTTTTGGACCATCCTATAGAATTTAATAGAAAATTTTATCCCTGTTAGATATGCCTACAGAATGATTTAAATAAAACCCTATATTAAATTTAGCATTTTATGCTAAGTTCAATTGGTTTCTAGCACAGGATCCTTTTACTTTAATCCCTATTAAATTGTTGTTCTTTTTCCATGAGGAACATATGCTTTGGATGTTTTGAAAATTAATCTAGAGCATTTAGTATCTTGATAGAATAAAATATACATAACATAAAACTAAAAGGGGTTTTAATAGGATTTTGAAAGCACCAAAACTTCAGTATTAAAATATAACTATACTCAGTGTTTTGGCATCCATGTTCTTATCATTTATGCAGCCCTTCAAAGAATAAGAATCATCTGTGATAATGCTGTGAGCCAGAAAACACAACTCCAATCGCAAGAGTAAAGTTTTTAAGACCCATATGAATTAATTTCATTCAGAGTTTTCTGAATGAACACTGTATGTTGCAGGCTCTTTCAAGCACATGTATCATAGCTCAACCATTGGTATGTATAGCAACACTAATATTCTGCAAATGATAGAAATTAAACTACTTATTCTTGAAGTGGATGTGGCGATATTAAAAAGGAAGAGAGAATGACTTAAATAAAAAGCATTTATACTGTCTAAAAGCATCTAATGTTTCAAGTATTGTGTGCAGAAATGCTATATCTTATACTACCAAAAGGAACTTGATAGGAATGTATTTCTTATGATCAATTTATATCTGATATCTTGAGGCCTAACAATGAAAACCTTAACATCCCAAAAGCAAGCAAACAAACAAAAAACCTCCAGCAACACATAATGGTCAAGTTTATAGGGTACTTGTTACAACAGCAAGACCGGGACATTCTGTGTTAGGTTGGATTGGTTAGTAGCTGAAAATTGCTGTTACCACTATAAATTACTGCCAGATGCACTGTGTGGGGGGAGGTGGAACAGAGAGGGAAGATACATATGAGTGGGGGGGGGACTGTTTATGTTAATGGCTTTTTTAATAACAAAAACCTG